AAGAGGGCCGACGCAGGTCCGCGCGGACGGGCTTCGCCGCGAAGATATCCCCTGGCGCCCCTCGAGATTCAGCGGGGTGCCCCCCCGGACACATTCATTGTCCTCGCCCCCCCGCGAAATCGCCCAGTGGAAGAGCTTCCGTTTCGTCGGCGCTCGCGGCGCGGCCCGCCGAGATCCCGCTCGCCAGGCCTCGCGCGGGCCAAATGCGCGGATCTCGTCGCCTTCTCCTCCGTGGCGCGCCCGCCGCAGCACCGGCCGCCCCGCGGGCAAGTCCTGCGCGCCCGGACATTTGGGGGCCCGAAATGGGCGCGGAAAACACGGGTGCAATGCCCAGAAACAAATGTTGCCCCAAACCAATGGCGGCCGCTGTCGGCCGTCTGTCGCAAGTGAACGCAGGCCGCGGCGGCGCACATGAACAAGAACTTCCACTGGGCATTGCACCATTCCCCCCGCATCAACTCCGTTCGCACCGAGGATTGACGGCGGCGCGACGGCGGGATGCCCCAGTTGGAGACCGCCCCGGCGCGGTTCTTGATGCACTCCTTGCAGAACGGGCGCCTGAAGATGAACTCGGGGGCCCCGCGCACCCGCCGGGGGTCGGGCACCCGACGGCAACCCAGACGCGGGCGGGCGCGCGGTCCAGGATGCCCGCGTCGAAGAGCTCGCTGGGGTCGGGCATCGCGCGCGAGCACCGGCGCCTTTGATGCGCTAGCCATGCGGTCGATCCGCGCGGCACCGGGCTGCGCTTGCCCAGAAGCAGCGCAGCGCGTTGCGGCGCCGTCGCGCGCCTCTAGGAACGGCGCGAGCACCGCCGCCCAGCGCCTCACCGCCTGGCCCGCACGGGCGAAGTTGCGAGAGTCCGCGAACGAGACGTTGCGGCCCACCTGCGACAGCGCAGAAAGAGGCAGGGGATGTCCGAGAAGATTACATCCCTCAGGATCACTGTCGAAGTACCCTCAGAAGCGCGCTGACAGCGCTGGCGGTCTGTCGCCACGCGGGCGCCGATCTCGTTCACCCTGTCAGCCGACAGCCTCGCAGTTCGCGGAGTCGCCGCGCGGGGGGGTGAGCGCGACGCGGGGCGCGCCCCTAGGCGCGAGGCTGTCGGCGCGCACCCCAACGCGATGGTCCAGCTCCGAGACGAGGACCGCCTCTCCACCAGCTCCGCGCGCAAGGGTCGAGCCGAACATGCCGCGCGCGTCGGCGAGAAGCGCCCTGCGCAATGCGTGTCGCAGCTCCTGTTCGGCTCCATCTGCATCTTGAATTGCCCGCGGCGAGATCCTCTGTCTCGGCATCTTGGTCAGGCACTTCATCTCGGCGCCCCACCTCGACGGGTCGCGGCGCGGGCGAGTTCGCGCGCGCTGGGGGGCACAGCGGATCGGCGGTAGGAGGTTCGCCTCGCCCCTCTTTGCCACTGGCAGTTTCTCGTCGCCAGCTCGCGGAGCGCGCGAAATCTGCCGCGGCGCGAACGGCGCGTTCAATGCGCCACTCAAGACGCAGGCTGGGAGATCGCGTCGGAAAACGCAGTGGTTCGTTGCATATCCCTGCCCCCGGACAGCCCGCCCGCTGCCACGCGGTTCCGCTTGGGATGGGAGCGTCGTCTGGCTGTCGTCCAACTTCGACCCAGGCGAGAGGCGCGTGCGCAATCTGCCCTGTGCATGTGTCCATCCGCTGCCTGCCGCCACGGAAAGAGCGCCTGGCGTTGGAATAGAGCATCTCGGGTGGAATACCTAGGCGGCGCTGTCTCGGGCCCCTGTCGAGCGCGACGCAGGTTGGTTGCGCGTTCCCGTCGGCCACCGCTGCCATGCTAAACCGCCGCCATTGTCAGACAATGTGCTCGGGTCTTGAGAGCGCCTTTCTTGCGTTTGGCGTTGTTGATCCGTGTCCGAAGACTTGAACTTGGGGGCATCGGCGCGGTCCGTCTTCGAGGAATACGCAATCGGCGTCGCCGAAGCCGGCGTGAGTAAGCCACGGTGCAAGGGCCGCCTCCACCGCCGCCTCGCCTGCAGGGGCAGGAGCGCTGATGCACAAAAGGCTGCTCTGAATCCCTGTCGTCCTTGGCCGCGCCCTCCGCCTTGACCCGTCCAACCGCTATTTTCCGCAACTGCCCATTCTCGCTGAAGTCTTTTAACCGCAACCCACGATTCTCCATGTGTTAGTCTGGATTATGCACAGGCGCCCGCACCTCCGCCACGCCCCCATCGATCAGCGCGACCATCCTGCCGTGTGTTTGCCGCGTGTGTTCCGATAGCTGAAGTACAGATCTCCGTGAACGCCGCGATGAGTTCTGCTGTTTGTCTTGACCAGCTGGCGTCCACCAGTGCTCCCATTATCCTTCTCTGATCACGGATGAGATTGTCCATGAAGTCCGCGGGGCCGCCGCCATTCATGGATACTGCGTCGGGGATAATGTATCCTGACAGGGTTCTTCCGCTTGTCCGATGGTCATATGCTGCTTCGCTGCTGCCACCGCCACGGTGCCACGGGTCTTTTCTTGGAAAATTTAATTGTCAGCCACGCCTGGATGGAGAGTCCATTATTCTTCGCTTTTCGCCGCACCACTGCTGTGGTCGCCCACGCCGCCGTCACCGTTGGTAGGCATTCAAGCCACCACGCCCCTTTGATACGGAACCAATCGGCAGCGCGCAGCTCGACGGTCGCGAAACGGAAGCCGATGGCAACGCGATGCGCGTTCGTGGCAGGGATATGCATCTTGGCCGAAGCAATGCGCAGCTCGACGTTGGTCGCGGATACCTGGGGCCCTAGCCGCGAACCAACGGTATTCATCTCTTCCGTTGGGGAAGCCATGTCTTGGGCCAAAACAGACACGCACGGAGAAGGGAGGGAAGAACAAAGAGGAGGGAAGGAGGAGGCAATGAGGCAAGAGCGCCACTCGCGATGAGTGTCACGAAGCCTAGATCTATGGGGGCGTCGGCGGCTGGATGTTTTCGGGCCCTGCCAAGCCCCCAGAAGCCCCCAGACCCCCAAGGGCCCTGGAGGCCGCCCAGGGTTCCAAAACGGGCCAAGGACGTCGAAGAAGCCTGATCCACTATCTGAGATGCGGCGATGGCTGCACACGCCTGTTGCGTCGCAGCGCGGCAGGGGCAGTCCGCACGCGCGCCCAAGCAACCCGGGCTACAATATTGCGACATGTCCCGCATGCAAGAGGAGTGCAAAAGAAGAGGGCCGGCCGCGGGCGATGGCTGCACACTTTTTTGATCGCGACCGTAGCGACAAATCGCTCGGCGTCAAGTCGAAGCGCAACGAACGAGCAGCGGACTAAACGAGGCACCAAGCGCGCAGGAGCGAACTACGCTGCGGCTCGGAGGGCGAAGCCGACGCTGAAGAACAGGTAGGACACGCCGAAGCCGACACACGCGCGGGCACAAATGTTCGGCGTCGGCTTCGCTCGCAGGAAGGACACTCGGGAACGACCCCATGCAGGGCCCCGGATCCGGCCGAAGCTGGCGCATCCCCCGCCCTCACTGCCGACCACGGCATCCCCGATGACTTGGACGTAAACCCAGGACCGCCGCCGATACGATTTGTGCAGTCCACGGCCCCAGAGGTCCCGACCGCTTCACGGGGGAGCTTTTCGTCCTGGATCCAAAATTGATGGTACGTAAACCCAGGACTGCCGCCGATACGATTTGTGCAGTCCACGGCCCCAGGAGGTCCCGACCGCTTCACGGGGGAGTGTTTCGTCCTGGATCCAAAACTGATGGTCTGGTAGGGCCCGGAAATGGCCCCCGAAGGCCGACATCAATTTAAAAAAACACCCAGAACAAGAAAACCGTCCCGGCATTCCTATAAGCCTACAACGACATGTGCTTAGAACCCGAGAATGTCCTAAGAGCATAAACAATGCTATGAGAACACAGAGCCAAAGTGTTAAAACACGACAGCCCCAGCTGGAAATGCTCTAGGAACATTTCGTGCGAACCACACGAGGTTCCTAGCACAATTTCCCAGATACACCGACCGACCCCAGGGGCGGGAAGATGCATGCACCAGTACACAGGAGGAGCATCGGACGAGGACCTGGCGCCACCACACTTACCACTGGTAGGCGTGATGCAACGAAGGGAAGGCGCCTACCGCGCCACCTGGTACCGCAGGGGTCACCCCTGACCAGGCCGCCCAGTGCCACCACACTGGGACTGGCGCACCCCGCACTGGGGCAACGCTGGCAAGCCAGCCCCCAGTGCCACACGGGGTACGGGCTACCAATGCCACCATGGTGCACGGACAGGAGCCCACCATGGTCACCAGCACTGGCCCCGTGCTGCTGGTATACCTGCGCAGCCACACTGCACCAACAGCACTACAGGCCCAGGGGGGTCACCCTGCCCAACATCAGCTGGGCGCGCCTGTAGACGATCACACAACTCCCAGCGTCACCACACGGGGACCACCATACCCCGCACTGTGGCAACGCTGGCACGCCAGCCCACAGAGCCGCACGGAGAACGGGCAACCAATGCCACCGTGGCGCACGGGGCAGAGCCCACCACGGCTTTGCCGCGGTGCACGGGCTAGAGCCCACCACGGCCCTACCGCGGTGCACAGGCTAAAGCCCACCACGGCCACAGGCAACGAGCCCGTGCTGCCGGGAGGCACGCGCGGCCGCACTGCACTAACAGCAGAACAAGTCCAGGGCCCACCCTGCCCAAGACGAGTTGGGCGTACCTGTCAAAGACCTTCCATCTCAAGTGCCGCTCCGGGGTGGGAGCGGAGGGGATCGGAATCCGCGGCACTTGAGCCCAAAAGGCGACAGGATGTTCCTCTGCTACCCATCCCCCTCTACTGCTGCGGCGCTCCGGAGGCGGCCATCCCACCACAGCGGCTGAGAGTGCACAGAAATCGTCATCGACAGAAACCCAACCTTAAGGATCGTTAGGGGCTTTGCAAAGGCACATTTTGAGGCTGCCCTCGACTTGAGTCTTCCTGGGAACGCCGAGCGCCCCTCAGAGCGCTCGCCCAAACTGTCCAGAGTCCATTGCTTCCGCCAGCTCTCGCCGAGACCCTCCACCAGCACGCGCCCCCCAAGGCCCAGGGAACTGCAAGCAGTTCGTCGGCCGTCGCTCTTTCAACTTGTGCCTCACGCACAACCTGCGGCCTTGCGTGCACAACATTCTTTGGTTGGCCTATAGGTAAGCCAGGACGCCTCGCCACCGCTTGAAACTTCGGGCCCCCTGGCGACAGAGCGCGCCCGCCAGCCGCCGCTCCGTGGAGGCCAGCCGCGGGCAGCACGCCGCCACACCTCGCTCACCGCCCACGGCGGGCGTCGCCCCCGAGACGACGTCGCTCCGTCGCGGGTGCCGCACGAGGCCGCTCAGGCAGTGCGCGCCACCGCCCCGCGGACGCCGGCCGCGGGCAGCACAGCGCCATACCTTAGCGACCGCTCGCGGCGGGCGTCGCCTCCGCTGCCGTCGTCTCCGTCGTCTCCACCGCCGTCGCCGCTGGCGTAGTCTCCGTCGCCGTCGTCGTCGTCGCTGTCGCTGCCGCAGTGGCCGCCGCTGTCGCCGTCGCCGTTTCCATCGCATCTCGGTCGCCGTCGCCGCTGCCGCCGTCCGTCGTCGCCCCGTTTGCAGTCGGTGGCTGCCGGCGGCACTGCGCCATGACTCAGCGCGCTCCGACGGCACAGGCCGCGTGCTGAGGAGGAAGGAAGAGGTACAATGGAGAAGGAGGAGCAGAAGCAGGAGCAGCACATGATTACCTGCTCCTCCTCGCTATTGCCGTTCTCCGCCTCCTCCTCCTCCTCCTCCTCCTCCTCCGAACCACCAACATCACTCCCACCACCCTCCTTTTTCTTCTTCTTCTTCTTCTCCTCCTCCTCCTCCTCCTCCTCCTCCTCCTCCTCCTCCTCCTCCTCCTCCTCCTCCTCCTCCTCCTCCTCCTCCTCCTCCTCCTCCTCCTCCTCCTCCTCCTCCTCCTCCTCCTCCTCCTCCTCGTCTGCAGCAGTAGCAGCAACAGCAGCAACAGCAGCATCACCAGCATCACCAGCACCAGCACCAGCATCAGCATCAGCATTTTCTTCTTCCTCATGATCATCATCACCACCACCACCATCATCCTTGTCGTCGCCGTCATCGTCATCATCTTCGTCGACGTCGTCGTCATGATCATCATCACCATCACCATCACCATCATCATCATCATCATCATCATCATCATCATCATCATCATCATCATCATCATCATCATCAGCAGCAGCAGCATCATCATCAGCTTCATCATCAGATCATCATCATCGTCGTCTTCATCGTCATCATCGTCACCACCACAACCACCACCAACACCAGTATCATCAGCATCAGCATCAGTATCAACATCATCAACATAATCAGCATCATCAGCATCATCAGCATCAGCAAGCGCATCATCATCAGCATCATCATCAGTACCATCACAATCATCATCAAAATCAACATCATCAGCATCATCATCATCATCATCACCACTATCATCATCATCCTCATCATCATCCTCGCCATCATCATCATCATAATCATCATCATCATCATCATCATCATCATCATCATCATCATCATCAGCATCATCATCATCATCATCATCATCATCCTCGTCATCATCCTCATCCTCATCCTTTCCCTCATCGTCATCAGCATCATCCTCATCCTCATCATCATGATCATCATCATCATCATCATCATCATCATCATCATCATCCTCATCATCCTCATCCTCACCCTCACCCTCATCATCATCATCAGCATCATCACCATCATCATCAGCATGATCATCATCATCAACATCATCAGCATCATCAGCAGCAGATGCAGCAGACGCAACAGCAGGGGCAGCATCAGCATCAGCATCATGAGCATCAGCATCCGCATCCACATCCGCATCCACATCAACATCATCATCATCGTCAGCATCAGCATCATAATCAGCATCATCAGCATCAGCATCATCATCAGCAGCATCATCAGCAGCATCAGCATCATCATCAGCAGCATCATCAGCAGCATCATCATATTTATCATCATCATCACCATCACCATCACCATCACCATCAGCATCATCATCACCATCATCCTGTCGTCATCGTCGTCATCGTCATCATCCTCGTCGTCATCATCAGCATCGTCACTACAACAACCACCATCATCATCATCAGCATCATCCACATCAGCATCATCATCAGCATCATCATCATCAGCATCATCATCATCATCATCATCATCATCATCATCATCATCATCATCATCATCATCATCATCAACACCGCAATGACCGTCATCACTGCCATTACCGTCATCACCGTCATCACCACCAACGTCCCGACGACGACGGCAGCAGAGGCGGCCCCGCGGGGCCGCACCCAGAGGCCGAGCGCCCCGCTGGGGGCAGACGCGGCACGTCGCCGTCGGGCCCACGGCAACCACGAGGTCCTCGCGCATGACCCACGCCTGTCAAGGTGCTCCTCCTCCTGCCCATCCTCCTCCTCCTCCTCCTCGCCCACTCGCTCGTCACCCTACGGACGAAATAGGCTACAAGCCCTCGCTTCAAAGACGAAGGCAAAGACTAACCGCTCCTGGCCCTAATTCTGAGGAGGCGGGAGTGGCTGGGGCAGTGGAGACCTCCCAAATGGGTCCGAGTAGATGGGATCGGAGGATCGTGCCTTATCGCCGATGCATCGCGAGTGCGCCGGCGACGTCGGCAACGCATTGGCGCCGTCGGTGTGGAGAAGATCGGGCTCCACATCGAGCCACCCCGCCGATGCATCGGTGGTGCGGCCCGAGCCTCCGACCCCACCTAGTCGGACCCCGTGTCGGAGGCCTTGAGCCTGGGCGCCGTGCTGCAGGCCCGTGTCGCGCCGATTGGCGCGTTGGCTTCTGGCACCGCGCGCACCTTTCAGCCTTGGAGGATCGCGCCTGTCGGACAGCGCGGATCGCTCAATGTCGGCCCACCCTGGACCTCTGGCAGCGCTCAACCTTGAGCACCCGCGCTGGGGCCGCCGCCGCGTCGGCACGACACGCTCTGCCCACGACGTTCGAGGATCGGGGGTGATGAGGATATCGGACTGCGCACAGGCAGCCCCCCCAGGCATCACCGGCTGGCCCCAACGGGCCCGCCGAGTAGTCGCGGCTTCCCTCAGCAGGCCCCCTCCAGTAGCCCAGGGCGGTCTCAACACCCCGACCTTGGGGGGCGGAGCGCCCAAGGGCGCGGCTGGAGGCGGCGCTAGGGTGTTGAAACCACCCCGGGCTACTCGGCGGACATGTTGAGGCCAACCGGGACTATCTGGGGGATCTGGCTGCACGCAACCCGAAGCCTTACTAGTTTGAGGGGGTTTCTCTCCTCTCCTCCGGGAGCCTCAACGCGCCTCCGCGGAGGCGAGACGGCATCCCGGGACCCTCTCTGGGAGTCAGGTTTTATGGACTAGGGGTCTAGGGGGGGTTAGGTGCTCCTGGTGGGTGTTTAGCAAACTCTTCAGGGCCCACGAGGGAGGAGGGAGGTCATCCTCATCTTAATCCTCCTTCTCCACGTCATTATGATCATCCTCACCATCACTACGCGTCATCGTAGTCGACATCATAGTCGTCATCATCATCATCATCATCATCATCATCATCATCATCATCATCAGCAACAACATCGTCATCATCATCATCATCATCATCATCATCATCATCATCATCATCATCATCATCATCATCACCATCACCATCACAACGACCACCACCACATTCACCATCATCGTCGTCATCGTCGTCGTCGACGTCATCATCAATCCTGATCGCCACTAGCGCAATCACCACCATCGTCGTCACCACCATCAGCCATATCAATATCAACACAAGTATCGCCAAGCAGCGTCATCACCGTCGCCATCGCCATCGTTATGATAATCCGCCGGCCCCCTTGTGGGGCCACCAGGCTGTAGGGCGAAGATTCGCAGTTTCCTGTACCAGTTGCAGCTTCCATTTTCCATTGTTACAGTTCTGCTTCTTGCTGCTTACTGTTCCTTGTTGATGGACCGCGCGAGGGGGGGAGGCCCAAAACGGGTATTCCTTCCATTGCTGGGGTGGGTAAAAAATAACACCCCTCACGAAGATCGGCGGGGTCAGGGTCCAAAAACACAAGGGATCTGCCACATTTCTGAAATCCGGTGGCACCCCTCACGCAGATCGGCGGGGCCAGAGTCCAAAAACACATGGGATTTACCACATATCTGAAATTCGGTGGCACCCGTCACGCAGATCAGCGGGGTCAGGGTCCAAAAACACATAGGATTTGCGATATTTTTAAAATTTGCTGCACCCCTCACGCAGATCGGCGAGTCAGGGTCCAAAAACACAAGGGATCTGCCACATTCCTCACACCCCGCATGCAGATCGGCGAGGTCAGAGCGCAAAAACACATAGGATTTGCCACATTTCAAAAATTCGCTGGCACCCCTCACGCAGATCGGCGGGGTCAGGGTCCAAAAACACAAAGGATCTGCCACATTTCTAAAATCAGGTGGCACCCCTCACGCAGATCGGCGGGGTCAGGGTCCAAAAAACACATAAGATTTGCCACACTTCTAAAATTCGGCGGCACCCCTCGTGCAGATCGGCAGGGTCAGGGTCCAAAAACACAGGGGATTTGCCACATTCCTGAAATTCGGCGGCACCCCTCACGCAGATCCGTAGGGTCATGATCCAAAAACACAAGGGATTTGCAACACTTCTAAAATTCGGTGGCACCCGTGATGTAAATCCGTAGGGTCAGGGCCGAAAAACAAACAGGTCCCGACACTGCTTCACGGCGGCGCCCAGACCTCATGATTTAGCTCTTGCATCTCCCATTATCCCAGACAGGGGGCCGGCGGCATGGGGCGAAGCCCTTACGGATTAACCTCAACCAGATAATCTCAGAACAAACACACGACACGTCACAGTTCCGGTGACAACACCACCATCATCGACTGCATCACAATCACCATTGGCATCATAATAATCCTCCGTCTCATCCAAATCGTCACCAACGTCATCATCGCCATCATCATCACCATCATCATCATCACCATCAGCATCATCATCACCATCATCATCATAATAATAAGAATCATCATCATCATTATCATCAGCATGATCATCATCATCCTCATAGCCAACATCATCATCATCATCATCATCATCATCATCATCATAAAGGCATCATGATTACCTTCATCGTCTGCATCATCAACATAAGCATCATCATCAGCAGCAGCAGAAATACCATCAGCAGCAGCATCAGCATCAGCATAATCCGCATCCGCATCCGCATCAATATCATCATCAGCATCATCATCATAATAACATGCATCATCCTCATAAGAATAAACATCCTCATCAGCATCATCACCATCGTCATTACCGGCGTCGACATCATCATCATCATCATCATCATCATCATCATCATCATCATCATCATCATCATCTTTATCATTGTCATCATCACCAGCATCATCAGCATCATTGCCATCATCATGATTGTCATCATCATCAGTATCATAATCATCACCATCATCAGCATCAGCATCATCAGAAGCATCATCATCACCGTCAACATCATCTTCATCCTCACCATCAGCATTATCAGCAGCAGCATCATCAGCAGCATCATCATCGTCTTCATCATCATCGTTAGCATCATCGTCAGCATACTTATCATCATCAGCAACAGCATCAGAAGCAGCAGCAGCATCAGCGTCAGCATCAGCATCATCCGCATCCGCATCCACATCCGCATCAGTATCCGCATCCGCACCCGCATCAGCATCAGCATCATTATCACCATCGTCATCGTCGTCATCATCACCATCATCATCATCATCGTCATCATCATTACCATCATCATCAGCACTATCATCATCAGCAGCGTCGTCATCATCATCAGCATCATCATCACTCTCAGCATCAGCATCAGCATCAGAATCATCATCATCGTACTCATTATCATCATCATGAGCATCATCATCATCATCATCATCATCGTCATCATCGTCAGCAGCATCATTGTCGTCATCATCAGAATCATCATCAGTAGCATCGTCACTATCATCATCATCAGCAGCAGCATCAGTATCATCCGCATCCGCATCCGCCTCAGCATTCGCATCAGCATTCGCATCAGCATCCGCATCCGCATCCGCATCAGCAGCAGCATCGACGTCGTCATCGTCGTCATCATCATCATTATCATCATTGTCATCATCATCATCATGATCGTCATTATCATCACCAGCATCATCATCAGCAGCATCATCAGCAGCATCATCATCATAATCATCATCATCATCATCATCATCATCATCATCATCATCATCATCCGCATTATCATCATCATCATCATCATCATCATCATCATCATCATCATCATCATCATCATCATCATCATCATCATCATCATCATCATCACTCCCCCCCCATCCACCTCCCCCCGCTTTCCTCCCCCCTCCTCCCTTTCTCCCCCTCGCCCTCTCACTGGCTCTCTTCGTCCATCTCCCGTCCCCACCCTCCCCGGACATCCGAATCCGTGATTCTATCTCGCACCGTGGGGCCACCGAGCTCCAGACCCCCTCCCCGGGACAGGCTCGTCACTCCCAATCGTTGTTCTCACGGCCCCAGAGCCCGCAACGGGCCTCCGGAGGCCCAGAGCTTCAGAAAAAGCACCCCGCCCTGATCCCCTCGAGTTCTCAAGACATCCGATGTCTGGGCCCTCAAGAAGTCCTACCTGTGTGAAGAACTATAAGAAGGACCCCTAATCCTTCGGGAGGGGACCCAAGTTAGGAGGGCCAGAAACATTAGGGATAGAGGGTCTTTTCTGCAGGTGTATCAGGCCAAACCGCCCAGACCTAGTATCCCTTCTTTTCTGCAGGTGTATCAGGCCAAACCGCCCAGATTTATGATCCCTAATGCGAAAAACGGGGGCCTAAGTGAGGCCACGTCTTCATCGTGTTATTAGGAGTAGGGGTTCTTTTGTTTGCGATGACTGCTTGACTTCCTCCCTGGCGCGTACCGACCAGAACTTTCAGGCGGATCCAGCCGCGGCGACGGGAGCTTCCCCGTCGGACCCACTTGCAGCACTCACGTACACGTGCGCTCCATGTCCGCCACCGTGCCTGCACGGAGTGGGCGTGCTGGAATGCTCCTGTGGTCCCAAGACAGCCAAGATTGACTACCTACCAGACAACCCCAACCCAACCCGAAGACTCAAATTTCGGGTTGGGGGGGGTACGGGTTCCATGTGTTTTTTCGATGTTTCCCGACCCCCCCCAACTGGAAATGTTGAGGCCTTCGGGTTGGGTTGGGGTGGTTTGGTGGGTGGTGAAAGATGGCACCACAACGACTCAAGATGGCCCATGGCGGCTCAAGAGGCTTTGAAGACAGCCTCCAGACGGCCCAAAAGGCCCCCAAGACGGCCCACGAGGGCTCCAAGAGGCTCCCCAGTAGAGCCCGATGAAGAGAAAAGCAGTGATTGTCTTTGGTTTTTTGCTGGATGTTGAAGCTCTCGATTGTTGGGGCTTCCGACCCCCCAATAGCGCCCAAGAGGTCTCCAAGATAGGAGACAACCCAGGAGGCCCCCAAGAGGGCCCAAAGTCGGCCTAACAGGATTCCAGGATCGCCCAAAAGGCTCCCAAGAGGGCCCCAAGGCGGCCCGAAGCGCTCCAGGAGTGCGCCACAACGACCCGGAGAAGCCCCCAGGACGGCTTCCGAGGGCGACAGACGGGCTAAGAGCCCTCCGAGACAACCCAAGAGGCCCCAAAGTGCGCAACGTGTCATGAAATTCGCGCTGATTTGTTTCAAGTCTCATCTCCCGACCAGAAAGTCCGCTCGACAAAACACACAGCACCGTCTGGGACGAAATTCACAAGAAGATCCAGGACTGCTTCTCCCTTTCCGATCGAGATCCGCTCTGCGAAGTTGGCGCCATCACCCCGGCCCACCATGGGGACCAGAGGTCCCTGGGAGAACCCCCGCGCACCCCGCCCCGAGGTCGTTGAGGGGTTACTGCGACTGCTTCTGCCGTCCCTCGACTCCTGCGGGAGCGGCCACGATTTCATCCAAGTTCCCCAGGAGATCTCTGGAGTCACCGAGATGTACCTGGCCTTCCCTCGATTTACCTGCCTCGCTGCATCTGCATTGACTTGTCCAGCTTGATCCCCACGAGTCGGTTGGCAACAGGTCGTCAAGATCTCAGGGACCCGCGCACCCATCGGGTGTCGCTAGAAATGCCCCTGGCCCAAGGTGCCTCCGGGATATTTTCAAGAAGGCCCCCGCGGGCTCCAAAATGGAGCGAAAAGCTGGGGGGCACCTTGGGCCAGGGGCACCCTCAGCCAACCCCCGAGCCCAGTCCCGCGAGGGGGCGGGGGACGCCCGGGCCAGCGGCAGCGGCCGAGCCCGCCCCGCCCCTTTGCGCAACGCCCCCGGGCGGCCGAGCACGCCGCCGCGGCAGCGGCCTGACGGCGATGGAGGCCCCCATGCAGTGCTTCCTCCTCCTCCTCCTCCTCCTCCTCCTCCTCCTCCCTCCTCCTCCTCCTCCTCCTCCTCCTCCTCCTCCTCCTCCTCCTCCTCCTCCTCCTCCTCCTCCTCCTCCTCCTCCTCCTCCTCCTCCTCCTCCTCCTCCTCCTCGAGCGGCGGACACAGTCTGTCCCGCGCCCACGCTCTCCCTGAACTCCACGGGGAGCGCGGCGACAAGGTACTTCTCCCGGTCGGCTGGTCCAGCTCCCGCCCGGCTAGGCCGCCGCAGCCGCCCGGAGCTCGGCCGCCCGCCTGGCGCCGGCGCTGTCCGCGCCCAGCGCCGTCCTGAGCTGGCGGGCGGTGGCCCGGTGGAGGGCCACGCTGAGCTCCCGGCCCCACCGGGCCATCAGGGCGCCAGCGACTGCCTCGTCGTCGCCCAGGAGGGCCGCCTCCCCGCGGGCCAGCTCGCGGAGGTGCCGGAGGGCTGCCGGCCCGTGCCGCCCTCCGGTCTCGAGCGCCAGGGGCACCATGCCCCACGGGGTCCGGCCCGGCGGGTAGCGGCGGCACTTCTCGGCCTCCGCCGCGGCGTTGACCGCGCCGCAGAGGGCCGCCAGCGCCGCGGGCTGGGCGAGCACGACCCGCCAGTGCTCGAAGCGCCCGCCGCCAGCCGCCGCCCCGCTGCCCCGGGGGCTCGCCTGCAGTGCTTTCTTCAAGGCCCTGTGGGAGAGCGGCGGAGGCCCAGCCAGCGGCGGCGCCGCCGGCGGCAGCGCGGCGGCGGGGCGCGGCTGGAGCAGCGCCTGCAGCTGCCCTGCCGTGTCGGGCGTGAGTGGCGCGAGTCCTGGGCTGCTCAGCAGGGCGGCAGCTCGGGAATACTCCTCCGCCATAGCTTTTCGGAGGACCTCGTCCGCCAGGGAGCGCTCGTCGCGGCCTCCCCCGTCGCCTGCCTGGCGGCGCGCCTTGGCCAGTCATCGGGCCGTGCTCTGGGCCGCCTCCAGGAGCGTCGCCCAGTCGCCGCGGAGCAGCGCGGAGCAGCGCTCGCGCACCAGCTGCGCGCGGTCCAGCGTCTCCGCCGCCGCGCGCTGTCGGCCCCTCGCGTCCAGCCGGAGCGGGGCGGCGAAAAGCAGCCGCTCTCGCAGCGCCAGCAGTTTCCAAGCGCGCCCCTCCTCCGCGCTCCCGGCCGGGGCCTGGAGGATCCCCTTGCAGAGCTCCTCGGTGGCCTGTCCGGCCGCTGCCCGGGCCTGCCGCGGGACGGCCCGCAGCGCGGGGCAGTCCAGCGCAAACTCCTCCAGGAGATCACAGGCGTCGAGCCCTGCCCAGCAAGCGGCCGTGAGGTCCCGGAGGGCGAAGGCGGCGGCAGCGCCTGCCGCCGGCGCGTCTCCCGGCGGCGGCGGCGCCGGCGACCCAGCAGGACCGGGGGCGCTGCCCGGCGGCGGCGGCGCCGGGGCCGGCGGGCCGCCGGAAGCCTGGGCGGCAGCCGCTGTGCCTGCCGGCAGGGGCGGGCCGGGCAGGCTGCCTGGTGCCGCGGCCGCAGGCGCTGCGCTCGCCGAGGCCGCCGCCGCGGCTGGGGCCGTCGCAGCCCGCGGAGCGTCCAGTGTGCAGCGCCGGCAGAGGCGCGTGTCGCAGCCCCCGCAATAGCGGAGCCAGCCGCCTGCTCCAGCCCCGTCGCACAAGCATCGGTCCCCAGCCTCTGCTCGGTACGAGCTCGCTCCCGTGCGGCAAGCAGGGCAAATCGGCCCGGGGTGGCTCGCCTCCCCCACCCGGACGCCGGCGTAGCCACACCGACGCCTTAGCAAGGGGCCTGCTCGTCTCCGCGGGCTGCGCCCCGACGCCAATGACGCCCTCGGAGCGGGGGTCCGCCCGGCAGGTCGGCCGGAAGGCGGGAGGGGAATGCGGCTCCGCGTCGCCGCGCCTCCCCGGCGCCCAGGCCCCGCCTCCCCATGGGCCTGCAGCGGCAGCGGGCGGCGCGAAAGCCGCGAGCCGCGTCCTGACGCCAGTTTTTCTTCGGGGGGCGCCTTCGGAGCCGGGTTCCGCCCGGCACGGCGGCCGGAGGGCGGGGGGGGAGTGCGGCGCCGCCTCGCCGCGCCTCCCGGGCACTCAAGCCCCGCCTCCTCCTGGGCCCGCGGCAGCAGCCAGCGCGAGGGCCGCGGGCAGCGTCCTGACGCCGGTTTTTCTCTGGGGGGCGCCCTCCGAGCCAGGGTCCGCCCGGCAGGTCGGCTGGGGGGCGCGGGCGGAGTGTGGTGCCGCCTCGCCGCGTCTCCCGGGCGCTCAAGCCCCGCCTCCACCTGGGCCCGCGGCAGCAGCCAGCGTCCTGACGCCAGTTTTTCTCCAGGGGGCGCCCTCGGAGCCAGGGTCCGCCCGGCAGGTCGGCCAGGGAGCGCGGGCGGAGTGTGGCGCCGCCTCGCCGCGCCTCCCGGGCGCTCAAGCCCTGCCTCCTCCTGGGCCAGCGGCGGCAGCCAGCGCGAGGGCCGCGGGCCGCGTCTTGACGCCAGTTTTTCTCTGCCGGCCAGTCGGCCGAAGGGCGGGGGAGGAACGCGGCGCCGCCTCGCCGCGCCTCCCGGGCGCCCAGGCCCTGCCCCCTCCTGGGCCCGCGGCGGCAGCGGGCGGCGCGAGGGCCGCCATCCGCGTCCTGACGCCAGTTTTTCTCTTAGCGAAGTGTGCTTTACTTCCGCCGGCTTTTGTCCTTGCAGACCCCCCCAAGGACCCCGAGCCTCCGGGACCGCTGCAGGCGCCGGGCCACCGCCAGGGCGCCGGCGTCGTCTTCCGCCTTCTCCAGCTCCTCCATGACTTCCTCCTCGCTCATGTCCTCGCCCTCCTGCCTGGCCCCGCCGGCGCTAGGCTCCAGCGCCGCGTCGCCGTCCTCCGAGTCCGACGCGTCCTCGGAGAGGTCTGCCCAAGTGTTCCTCCTGGCTCCAGCGGCGCGTCCACCCTGGGAGCGGCAGGCGGCGGCGTGGCCGCCGCGAGGGCCGCGTGCGCGGCAGCCATGGCCGCGAGGACAGACTCCAGCATGCCCGCGGAGCTCGCTATGGCGAAGCTCCCAGACTCCAGCGTGTCCAGGAGCTCCCGGGTAGCCCGCACGAGCGGGGGGGCCACCTCGGGGCTCGGCTCCGCTGCCGGCGAGGCCGCCTGCGCCGCTTCCTCCGCGCGGACGGCGGCCTTGGCGGTCTCCTCCTTCGCGCGGGCGGCCTCCAGGTGCTCCTGCGCCGCCGCCAGCGCCGCCTCCGCCGCGACCGTCGCGGCTGCCGCCCGGGCCTCCGCCGCCCGGAGGTTTTCCAGGCGGTTCGAGCTGCGCTGCTCGGCCTTCCGCTGCCGAGCGGCCCGCTCCTCGGCCAGGAGCGGCTCGAGGGCCTCCGCCGGGGCCCCGGCGCGGCGCGCGGCCGCGGCGGCTCGGCGGAGCGCTTCCGCCTGGGTTCCTGGGCGCGGGGCCGTCCCGCCCGGGAGCGCCGGCCAAGCCTCGCCGGCGCGCGGCGCGGGGCGCCCCGCAGCGGGCCCCGCAGGCAGGCGGCCAGCCCGCGGCGCCGCGCAGCGGCGGCAGGCCTCCCGATCCAGGAAGTTCGGGGTGCCGCACGCGCATAGCCACTCCGGCTTGCGCTTCGGCGGCTGCTGGCGCCCGCCCCCGCCCCCGCCCCCCAGCAGGCTCGCGAGCAGCTGCTGCGCGAGCTCCTGGCCGGGCCGGCCAGCGCGGCGTTTGGCGCCACGGCGCTGGACCAGCGTCCATGCCATGGCGCGCCGAGGTTGGGGGAGGCGGGCGAAAGGGCGAAGGGAAGGGAAGGGTGGGCGAGGAGGGAGGCGGCCGGGCAATGGCTGGTTCCTCCTCCTCCTCCTCCTCCTCCGCCTCCTCCTCCTCCTCCTCCCCCTCCTCCTCCTCCTGCTCCTCCTCCTCCTCCTCCCTCCTCCTCCTCCTCCTCCTCCCCTCTCCTCCTCCTCTCCCTCCCTCCTCTCTCCTCTCCTCCTCCTCCTCCTCCTCCTCCTCTCCTCCTCCTCCTCCTCCTCCTCCTCCTCCTCCTCCTCCTCCTCCACACCCAGGTTTCATCTTCATTGCCCGAGACGCACCCAACCCTTTCTCAACGCAAGGCGACTATTTATATGAACGTTCCATACAAAAGAACACTATGCGTGATATGCAGCACGCTGAAATGCTTAGCCGAACAGCCTAACAGTGTCGGGCCACGTGCGTCGCACACTTGGGCAGGAATGGGTCACTGAGAACAACGCCATGCGCTACGTGACGTTCTGGCGCTCAGCGGTCTGTGATACGACAGCGTCGCGCGCTAAATGACGCGGCGGTAGCACGCGCCATGTGGGCACACGACATGTGGGCACCCTGCACTCCGCCGTGCCTCACATTGTCCCACGAGAGTGGCGACGGTTGCGCAGTTCGCAGCCCACGAGGGAGCCGCGAGGTCTCAAATGATGTGCGCTGCCCTCACCTCCGCCGTGCCTCCCAGGAGCCCACGAACTTGGAAACAATTGCCCAGTTCGCAGACCCCAGAAGCCGCGAGGTCTCAAACTGCTCTGCGCTGCCCTAACCTCCGCCATGCCTCCCTGGAGCCGATGAAGTCGCCACAGTTGCGCAGTTCGCAGCCACCTACCTGGCCACGAGGTCTCGAAGTGATCTGAGCTGCCCTCCACGCCGCTCGACCTCCCATGAGCCCACGAAAACGGTAACGGTTGCGCAATTCGCAGCCCGCAAGGGAGCCGCGAAGTCCCGCCTGCATCTGCGTACACCTCCACTCGGGTAGACCCCCCAGGAGCCCACGAAACTGGCGACAACTGCGCAGTTCGCAGCCACCCGGTGAGCCGCGCAGTCTCGGCTCGCTGTGCGGACGCCCCTACGTCGCACTGGCCCCCGGGAGCCCACGGAAATGGCCACAACTGCGCAATTCGCAGCCCGCGAGAGGGCCGCGAGGTCTCGGCTGCATGCGCGTACTCCCCTACTCCGCAGTGCCTCCCAAACGCCCACGAAAGTTGGCCCAAGTTGCGCAGCTCGCAGCCACCCCGCGAGGTCTGGGCTGGATGCGCGTACTCCCCTGCTCCGCCGTGCCTCGCAGGAGCCCACGAAAGCGGCCACAACTGCACAGATCGTAGCCACCCAGGAAGCTGCGAGGTCTCGGATGCATGCGCGTGCTCCCTCCCTCCGCCGTGCCTCCCAGGAGCCCACGAAAATGGCCACAGTTGCGCAGCTCGCAGCTTCCCAGGGAGCCCCGAGGTCTCGCTGGATGCGAGCACACATCCACTCCGCCGTGCCTCCCAATAACCCACGCAAGCGGCGACAGCTGCGCACAGCCCGCAAGGGAGTCGCAAGGTCTGGTCTGGATGCGCGTACACCTCCACTCCGCGCTGGATCTCCCAGGAGTCGACGAAATTGTCGAGGGTTGCGCAGATCGCAGCCACCCAAAGAGCAACGAGGTCTCGTCTGGGTCCGCGTGACTACCGCTCCCGCTGAACCTCCCAAGAGCCCACGAAAGTGGCGACGCTTGCGCAGTTCGCAGCCACCCAGGGAGCCACGAGGTCTCAGCTGGATTCGCGTACGGAGCTACTCCGCACTGCCTCGCAGGAGCCCACGAAAGCGGCCACGACTGCACAGATCGCAGCCACCCAGGGAGCTGCGAGGTCTCGGCTGCATGCGCGTGCTCCCTCACTCCGCCGCGCCTCCCAAGGAGCCCACGAAAATGGCCACAGTTGCGCAGCTCGCAGCTTCCCAGGGAGCCGCGACTCTCCCAGGAGCCCACGAGAGTGGCCACGGTGGCGCAGTTCGCGGCCACGCAGGTAGCAGCGCAGGAGGGGCAAGGGAGGAGGGAGGCGGGCGAGGAGGTAGGGACCAAGCTGCTCTACTCAAAACGAGAACCCAACGCAGGAGGGCTGGGACATAACTCTTTCCCGTCGCACGCCCGGACGTGCCGGCAGGGCGGGCCAGAAGTGTTCCCTCAGACGTCCTCGCCGCTTCCGGTCCTCAAGCTTGACGTGCCTGACAGTTTCACGGGTGGAAGGCGGGTGAAGGCTCACCTGTACAGGGGCCTTAAGAGTCTGGCCCAGGAAGCTTGCAAGAGGTCAGCGGGCCTCGAAGATTCGATGGCAGGTGGGACCCACGATACCACAGGCCTTCAGGCGTCAGCGCCTGCGACAGGCAGCGAAGGCCCTCTCCAGCAGCCCGACCTTGGCGGCGCTGAGGCTGAGGACAGGGCGCTGGCCGAGGATCGGAGGGAGACTCGGGGGGCGAGGGCCTGGGCGTGGATTGGATGAAGTTCTCCAGGCAGGTTTGTCGAAGCAACGGCCACGCGTGCTTGGCTTGTCCTGTGATCGACTGCCTCGGCTCCCCCAGGAGCAGGACACCGTTTTGCTGTCGGTGCGGCACATTATTCTCGGGCTCCCCTATTGTAACGCGGGGGCGAAAGGCCAGTGTCGACCGAAGCTGCCTATAGGAGGGATCAGTGACCAGCTGCGTCGGAGTCGGCTGGGCGAGTTCCCGTCTTACAGGGAGGACCTGCAAGATGTGATGCTGGGGATCCACGAGGGCCTCAACCTCGCCGAGCGTAGGATCTTGGCTCAGACGCTGGAGGAGGATGGTCGGGCCCCCGAGTGTGCTTCAAGTCCCCAGGGAGCTTTGGGACCACGCAGGGGTTCGCCCCGCGTGACCCTGTTTTGGCCTCGCCCGGCCTCGAGAAAGCCGACCTCCCCCGGGTGAAAGATTCGAGGGGAGGCAGCGATCCAGGCTTCGCGATCCGGGCTTCGCCTGATGAGATTGGCGAGTCAGGCTCGGATGCCGGCGATTTCGGCTGACATCATGAACTGCCAGGCTTTAGGCCAGACCCCAACAACAATAACCTCCTCCTCCTCCTCCTCCTCCTCCTCCTCCTCCTCCTCCTCCTCCTCTCCTCCTCCTCCTCCCCTCCTCTCCTCCTCCTCCTTCTCCTCTGCCTCCTCCTCGCTCCTCCTCCTCCTCCTCCTCCTCTCCTCCTCCACCTCCGCCTCCACCTCTCTTCCTACCCTCCTGTTCCTACCCTCCTCCTCCCCTCCTTCCTCCTCCTCCTCCTCCTCCTCCCCTCCTCCTCCTCCTCCTCCTCCTCCTCCTCCTCCTCCTCCTCCTCCTCTCCTCCACCTCCTCCTCCTCCTCCTCCTCCTCCTCCACCTCCCTCCTCCTCCTCCTCCACCTCCTCCTCTCCTCCTCCTCCTCCTCCTCCACCTCCCCTCCTCCTCCTCCTCCTCTCCTCCTCCTCCCCTCCTCCTCCTCCTCCTCCACTCCTCCTCCTCCTCCTACTCCTCCTCCTCCTCCTCCTCCTCCATCCCCTCCTCCTCCTCCTCCTCCCTCCTCCTCCTCCTCCTCCTCCTCCTCTCCTCTCCACCTCCACCTCCTCTCCTCCCTCCCTCCTCCCTCCTCCCTCCTCCCTCTCCCTCCTCCTCCTCCCGCCTCCCGCCTCCCATCTCCCTCCTCCCTCCTCCCTCCTCCCCATTCCTCCCTCTCCCTTCCTCCCCTCCTCCCACCTCCTCCCTCCTCCTCCTCCTCCTCCACCTCCTCCTCCTCCTCCTCCTCCTCATCCTCCTCCTCCTCCTCCTCCTCACTCTTCCTCCTCCTCCTCACTCCTCCTCCTCCTCCTCCTCCTCCTCCTCCTCCTCCTCCTCCTCCCCCGCCTCCTCCTCCTCCTCATCCTCATCATCCTCCTCCTCTCCAGTTGAAAACGGGCCCCTGACCTTGGCAAACGCTCCCAGCGGAGTGGCCCAATGGGCACCGTTGGCTACGGCCAGCGATGCGACGCAGGTGGCATCGGCCGCGCTCGCCGCCGCGGAGACCCCGAGGTCCACGCTCACCCAGCGATGGCGCGAGAAGACCGCCTCTCTGGAAGGAGGGGGGGAGGAGGAGGATCAGCAGCAGCATTCGCAGGAGGACCCTGACACCCTCGCGCTGCGAAAACAGACACGACGGAAGGGTTCTGACAGGCCTCCGCCTCCAGGGGTCCTGACTGCGACCCAGAACCGTCAGACAACGATTCGGGAAAACAACAGCCCCTTCGGAAGGGATCAGGACCTCTAAGGAACCACGTGGTTAACAACAAGCATGCCAACACAACAATACACGCACACACAACCACACACACACACACACACACACACGCACGCACACACACACACACACACACACACACACACACACACACACACACACACACCGACAACGACAACGACAACGACAACAACAGCAACAGTAACAGCAACAGCAGCAACAAAAACAACAATCATTATACCCTCATGCGCGATGCTTCCACACGCAGCATGTCACCATCATGATAACCATCCCCATCATGGGGGATTATTGCTCTATCGCGGGGGTCAGTTATTCCCATTCCCAGATCTCCCGCCCAATGAGGTCTTGCAAACACCTCCTCCGGGGAATTTCAACACATCCCGCCTCCAGAACCCCTTGCCCCCGCGCTGCTGCGCCGATGCGAGACCGCCAGTGTAACCCCAGCCAAGGGTAAAGCACAAGGAAGTCTCGAGCGATAGGATTGGCTTGGTGGGGATGGGGGCTGTCGGCGGCGAGGCAAAGACCTGGCCTTGAACTGACAGGGAGGAAGGGGTGCTGTTGTTGCTGGGAGCGGCGCCAATGCAGAAGAGAGTAGGGCGCTAGTCCAGCGTGAAACAACACGAAGTCTCGAGCGGGAGTGCTGGTTCTGTTGGGACGGCGGCTGTCGGCGGCGAGGAGGAACACTGCATTGAGAAAAAAAGGAAGAAGTCTCGAGCGGGAGCCGCGATTTTTTCGGGACGGGGGCTGTCGGCGGCGAGGAACAGCACCGTCTTCAGGAAAAATCTAGGAAGCCTCGAGCGGGAGCGTTGTTTTTGCTGGGGGCGGCGCCAATTCAAAAGAGAGTTGGGCGCCAGTCCAGCGCAAAACGGAGGGTCTCGGGCTGGAGCGGTGGCTTTGTTGGGGCGGCGATTTACGGCGGCGAGCAAAAGTACCGGCTCTGAGCAAAAAAACAAGGACGTCTCGAGCGGGAGGGTTGTTCTTGCTGGGGGTGGCGCCGATGAGAGAAAGAGCAGCGCGCCAGTCCAAGGTATAACGGGAAGAAGTCTCGAGCGGAAGCGTTAGTTTTGTTGGGGCGGCGGCTTTCGGCGGCGAGCAAGAGCACCGGTCCTGGGTAAAAAAAAGGAATTCTCGAGCGGGAGCGTTGTTGTTGTTGGGTGGACAGTTTTGGCGCCCCCCCAAACCGCTCGAGCGTGAGCCTCATTTTCTATGAAAATGTAGCCAGCGCCGAGGCGAGAGCGCCAGAGCGCCTGGGGGGGTCCCACAATAATAGCTGTCTCATAATTAACATTCAACATCAACATCAACAACAACAAAAACAACAACAACAACAACAACAACAACAACAACAACAACAAGGTAAGGACGCTACCTGGAGGCCCCATTCTACCTTGCTGTCCCTACCCTCTTGTACGGACCTTAGCTGGAGGCCCCATGGGGGGGGGGGGCGGGAAACGGGAAACGGGAAACGGGAAACCCCTCCGGCTTCATAATACCTAGGAATACGGATTCCAGTCCGACCCTTCCACCTCCGCACTGGAGTCGACCACGCAAACGCGAGGGAGCACCAGCGAGGCTCCAGCAACCATAGGGAACCCTAGGGAATCCATAGGAGCAGTAGTAGTAGTAGTAGTAGTAGTAGTAGTAGTAGTAGTAGTAGTAGTAGTAGTAAGAGTAGTAGTAATAGGAGTAGGAGGAGTAGTGGTAGTAGTAGTCGTAGTAGTAGTAGTAGTAGTAGTAGTAGTAGTAGTAGTAGTAGTAGTAGTAGGAGTAGTAGTAGTAGTAATAATAACAGTAGCAGTAGTAGTAGTAGTAGTAGTCGTAGTAGTAGTAGTCCTACTAGTAGTAGTAGTAGTAGTAGTAGTAGT